TTAAAAAGCTTCTGCACAGCCAAAGAAACTGTCAGGAGAGCTAACAGAGAACCCACAGAATGGCAGAAAATTTTCACATCCTACACATCTGATAAGGGGCTGATAATTAGAATCTACTTAGAACTCACAAAAATCAGCAAGAAAAATCAAACAACCCAATCGAAAAGTGGGCAAAGGACATGAACAGAAACTTTTCAAAAGAAGACAGAGTAATGGCTAACAAACATATGAAAAAATGCTCAACATCCCTAATCAGCAGGGAAATGCAAATCAAAACCTCAATGCTTTTTCTGCATTTACTGACAGAATCATATGGTCTTTTTCTTGATTTTATTTATGAAGTGAATTGCATTTATAGACTTGTGTATGTTGAAACATACTTGCATCTCTGGAATAAAGCCCACCTGGTCATGTTGAATTATTTTTTTTTTTGATGTGCTGCTGAATTCTGTTTGCTAGAATTTTGTTGAGGATTTTTGCATCTATATTCATGAGGGATATTGGTCTGTATTTTTTTTTTTAACTTACTTTCCTGACTTTGGTATCAAGGTAATATTGGCTTTGTAGAATGAGTTGGAAGGATACCATCCTTCTCAGTGTTGTGGAATAACTTCTAGTATAGGTAGTATAGATATGAGTTCATCTTTGTATGTTTGGTATAACTCTGAAATTTAGCCATCTGGTCCGGGATTTTTCCGTTTGGGGAGGTTGTTAATTACTGCTCCAATTTCTGCACTTGAAATTGGTCTATTCAGGAATTCTGTTACCTCCTGGGTGAACTTAGGGAGGTTGTATGAATCCAGGAATTTTTCCATTTCATCTTCATTCTGTAGTTTTTGGGGTATATAGATTTCTATAGTAGTCAAACATAATGTTTTGTATTTCTGTGATGTCTGTTGTGATCTCTCCTTTTTCATCTCTTATTGAGTTTATTTGAGTCCTTTCCCTTTGAGTTCTTGTCGGTCTAGCCAGAGGGCTATACATTTTGTTTTTCTTTTTGAAAAACCAGCTTCTGGTTTTTTGATCTTCTGTATAATTCTCTCATTCTCCATTTTATTTAGTTCTGCTTTGAAGTTAGTTATATTTCTTCTGTTAGGATTGAAATTTGTTAGCTCTTCGTTTTCCAATTTCTTGTCTCTTCATTAGGTTGTTGCTATCTAACCTTCTTTTATTTTTTTGGATGTGAAGTTTATTGCTATTATTTTTCCTCTCAGTTATGCTTTTGCTGTATCCCACAGGTTTTGGTAACATGTGGCTCCATTATCATTTTGTTCGAAGAAACTCTTTTATTTTATTTTATTTTATTTATTATTTTTTACTTTTTTTTGAGACAGAGTCTCACTTTGTTTCCCAGGCTAGAGTGAATGCTGTGGCATCAGGCTAGCTCACAGCAACCTCAATCTCCTGGGCTCAAGGGATCCTACTTCCTCAGCCTCCCGAGTAGCTGGGACTACAGGCATATACCACCATGCCCGGCTAATTTTATATATACATATTTTTAGTTGATCAATTAATTTCATTCTATTTTTAGTAGAGACGGGGTCTCACTCAGGCTGGTTTTGAACTCCTGACCTCGAGCAATCCGCCCGCCTCAGCCTCTCAGAGTGCTAGGATTACAGGCATGAGCCACCACACCTGGCCGAAGAAACTCTTGATTTCCCTCTTAATTTCCTCCTTGATCCAATGATTCAATAATCGATTGTTTAGTTTCCATGACTTTGTGAGGAGTTGAGTGTTTCTATAGGAATTGAACTCTAATTTTATACCACTATGATCACAGAAGACATATGGTATTATTTCTGTTCATTTGAATTTTTTGACATCTGCTTTACAACCTAGTCTATGATTAATTTTGGAAAAGGATCCATGAGCTGCTGAATGTAAATTCAACTTTATTTGGGTTGAATGTTATATAGAGATCTGTAAGACCTTTTTGCTCAAGAGCTTTGCTTAAACCCCTTATTCTTTACTTAATTTCTGTTTGGAGGATCTATCCAGTTCATTCAGTGGAGTGATGAAGTCCCCTGCTACTATGGAAGTATTGTTTAACATGCCATTTAGATAAGACAAGGTTTGCTTTATGTAATTGGGTGCTCCTGCATTGGATGCATAAATATTAAGAATTGTTAAATCTTCTTGTTGGATCTTCCCTTTCACCATTATAAAGTGGCCATCTTTATCCTTTTTCACTCTTGTTATTTTAAAGCTTATGTTGTCTGCAAATAGCATAACTACCCCTGATTTCTTTTGACTTCCACTTGCCTGGATGAGAGTTTTCCATCCCTTGATCATCAGCTGGGAGGCATCTTTGTGAGTTTGATGTGTTTCCTGTAGACAGAAGCTACTAGGCTTGTAGATTTTTATCCACTATACCAGTCTATGTCTCATCAGAGGACAGTTTAAACTATTTACATTTATTTAGACGTTTGAAATTGGAGGAAGATTTCTATTCATATTGTTGGGTGAAGTCCTGTTGCTTTGTCTTACTCCTTGAGCCATCATGCAGTTCAAGATCTAGTCTTGAATTCTTTGATGATTTTACTTTGAGGAGTGTCTATTGCCCTGATCGGTATGGAAGGCAGGTCTGAGAACTTCCTGTAGGGCTGGACTGGTCTTTGCAAATTGTGTATGATAAATTATATGGTCATCTATAAGCAGGTGACTTTCTCATTCAAAGTTAAATAGCAAGTGCAGAATAAGTGCTGCATTCAATCCCTTGTTTTGCCTAACTAATTGTTCAAAAAGTTGCTCCAGATATCGAGCACTATAAATGTCACCAGGCTTCCCAATCTTATGCTGGGTCTGATATTCCCTATTGCATTCAGTGCCCTTTTACATCCCCTTCTATATCTTCCCCTCTATTCCAGGGGTGAAAATTTAGGACAACATATGCCAGACTGCCATGCTAACTGAGGCTCATATAGGTGTTAGATTTCATGGTAAGATTTATTATTGTGAGGTTTTGAAGGCAAAAGAGGAGGAAAGTCCATCCATTTTTATTGTAAGTAGACTTATAATATTCTCAAATGCATGTTTTTTGCTGCAGCCTCTGCATTTCTCAACCATTTAATCTGTCTTAATGTTGAATAATATCTAGAAAATTGGTAGTAATTTGTTGCAGATCACTGACCTTAGGCAGCAACATTTCTGTAAATGTTTGCATATGTAAAGATGAAAGGTAGTGGCAGTCAGCTGGATTTTCACCTCCTTTATTCCTTACAGTACTTTCTTATTGCCCCACCTTTGTTTGTTTGTTATTGCTGTTTTAATAATATTGAGCAATAATTGATATAACTAACTGCATGTATTTAAAATGTCACATATAATTTCTCTTCTTTCTCTTTGCCACCCCTACCTCAGGCAATTAATGGTCTGCTTTCTGTCATATAGTTTGCATTTGTAAGTTTTATGTAATTGAATCATACATTATGTACTCTTTTTTTGTGTGTGATTTCTTTCACTCACCATGTTTTTGTTTGTTGGTTTGTTTGTTTCTTGGATCCACCAAGGTTGTTGGAAGTACCACATATTAGGGTTTTCCAGAATAACAGACCAAATAAGAAATATGTGTATGTGTGTATATCTATCTATCTATCTATCTATCTATCTATCTATATATATATATATTTATATATATAGATATAGATATATAAAGGGAGAGAGAAAATATATATGGGAGATTTTATTAGAGTAATTGGCTCAATTATTAAGGCATAGAAATCATAAAATAGACCATCTACAAGCTAAAGAACCAAGGTAGCCAGTAGCATGGCTAAATCCAAGCCTGAAGGCCTGAGAACCTGGAGTGGGGGGCACTGGTGCAAGTCCTTGAGTCAAAAGGCTGAAGAACCTGGAGTTCTGATATCCAAGGATAGGGAAAGGAGGCTGTAGCAGTTGCATAAGAGAGATTGATTTTGCCTTTCCTCTACCTTTTTGTTCTATCTGGGCCCCTGTCAATTGGTTGGTGCCCTCCCACATTGGGTTAGGGTGGATCTTTCTTACTCAATCTACTGATTCAAATACCAGTTGCTTCTGGAAACACCTTCATAGAAACACCCTAAGGTAATGCTTTATTAACTATCTGGGTATTCCTAAATCTAGTCAAGTTGACACCTAAAATTAACCATCATATACCAAATTTTATTGCTTTGTATTACTGAATAAAATTCTCTTGTAAGACTATACCATACTTTGTTCACCCAAACACTTATTGATGGCAATTTTCATTTGCATTTTCCAGTTTTTAGTTATTACAAGTAAAGCTACTATGAACATTTTTATACAAGTTTTTGTATAGATAAGTTTTCATTTCTCTTGAATAAATATCTAAGTGCTCATGGCTGGATCCATAGGAGTTTTGTTAAACATTTTAGGAAACTACCACGCAGTTTTCTGAAGTGATTGTACCACTTTATGTTCATGGTACCATTGTATATGAATTCAAGTTGCTCTACATCTTTGACAGTACTTGTCTTTCTTAAAAAAATTCAGCTATTATAATAGGAGATAATTTGGATAATCCAGACTTCATCAATACTTAAATATGGCCACATTAGATTGGAAGGATTTTAGGTAAGATGTACAAAATATCAGGGAATGGTGAAGGGTGGTAGAGAACAGAATGAACCATGGAATAGAAGTATCCATGGGGAATGACTTGGAGGAAATACCCTCTCTCTATCATGTGACTCTCTAGAATTGAACCTGGGAGAAGAAGAGAGCTGCTAAGTCAGTTTGGGAAGATTCTTTATAGGATGCTAAATAAAAGCCCCCTTTATCCACCCAGAGCACCTCTGCCTCCCCAGAATATCCTCTAGGGAGGTTTTGGGAGTGGTGCTTTGTGATATAAAAGCCACATCATTGCCTCCTGGCAACCTCCCCACCCTATGGAGATGTCTGAATTAGTACTTTGTGATGTCTAAGGCTTCCCAAGCCACCATTGGCTAGGGAAACACCTTGTTGACCAATCAAACTAAAGGGTGTGGCTCCTCATTGTTCTGGGGAAGGTATATATAGAGGGAGGTCAGGGGCTCTAGGGTATACCAGTTTATAGCTTTATCATGACTAAGGTGATCAGAAAACCACAGAATCCTAGGACAGTTATTGTACAATTGACCTCGAGGACCAAAGGGAAGAAGAAGAGAAAGATTCTCTGTCAACCAAGGTTCATAGATAGTGTGGAGGTAAGATGACTCCAACCAAGCTTCCCCATTGACTTTGCCCCCAAGACTTCTACCTTGTCCTTGCCTGACAGAAAACCCCTCATCAGCCCAAAGCCCTTTTCATAAAGACCTTCTTCCCATGTAGTCCTCATATTTCTCCAAACTAATGCCCTTCTGGGCTCACCCTGTTGCCCTTACAGGTCCCAAAGGCAAAAATGATGGCAAAAAGTTCCCTTCAGGGGAGTTCAATTAAAAAATCTCAAACATCTACCAACCATTCAAAAAAGCTTAAAAAAGCAAGATCAACAATATGTGTTTATTACCATAAGCTAAATAAGAAATGGAGTCAAACTAAGAGACAGAATCAAAATAAGAGACAGAATCAACAGAGAAGGAATCAAAATAAGAAACCAAATCAAAATAAGAGACGGGTTCGGCTAGCCCCAGAACAAAAGATCCTGGAGAAGATGACTTCTGCAAATAAAGACCCACCCATGCAGCCAGTGACTGTAGAGCACAGGCCAGAGTCCTTATAATTATCTACTGTGTATCCAGAGGCCTGGCATCTGATAAATGGCCAACCATGCAAAGAATGAATCATACCAACAGGATACACTCAGGATAATGATAAAAATAAAATCAAGTTATGAAAAGTTGATGTTGTGCAAAGTCTCTGAGTTCTTTGATGGGGGAGGGAAGGAAGGGAAGAGCCAGGTGTGCAACAAGGGAGAGTGGTGGGATCCTGCTTGGTTGGAGGCCAGACCCTCAGGTCCATAGTTAGCCATAGATTAGGGATGAAGACTGGGTCAGATCTGAGCACTGATGATAAAACTCCTTCCTTCACATTATCTCAGGAGCCCAGAAGAAAAGAGTGTGGGTTACTTTGTGTTTGGTGGGGAGAGGGGGAAGTGACATCAGGGGCTAGATTGCCAGAATGAAGATGGAAAGGGGGCATGATGTGTGCAAGGTGACTATGACAATCTCCTAAAAAAAGCAGAGAAATCACCTTCAGTCCACCTATCCTATTGTGGTGTTTGTTGCACCCCACACTGTGATGTAAGCTAGAGGTATTCAGAAGGTGAAAAATATTCACCTTACTGAAACTCACTACCAATATCCAAAACAACTGAAATAATGATTTGAAGGCACAAAACCAACACTGATTAGCCACTTTCTTGCTAAGAAACTTGGGGCTTAGTAGACTTCCAAGGGTGAGGCAGTGGGAGTGGTCCATCCGCAGTGCAGGTGATTCAGAGGAACACTTCAGAAAATTCTTTTTCTTTGCAGTTTTATTCATAATAGTCTATATATGTATCTGTGTATATATGTATGTGAGTATATATATATATATATATATATATATCACAAAGATCCATCAACAAGAGTCCATGCTTTATTTAGATGAGTGCACACACATAGAAGCAAAAAAGAACAAACCACTGACACACAAAACTATATGTATGAACTTTAGAAACATGTTGAGTGGAAAAAAAAAACAAAACACAAGTAGAACTACCATTTGATCCAGCAATTCCATTACTGGGAGTCTATCCAAAGGAACAAAGACATTCTATAAAAAAGACATCTGCACTAGAATGTTTAGAGCAGCACAATTCACAATTGCAAAGATGTGGAAACAACCCAAATGCCCATAAATTCATGAGTGGATTAATGAAATGTGGTATATGTATACCATGAAGTTCTACTCAGCCACAAAAAAACAATGGTGATCTAGCACCTGTTGTATTATCCCGGATAGAGCTGGAACCCATTCTACTAAGTGAAGTACCACAATAATGGAAAAACAAGCATCAAATGTACTCACTATCAAATTAATATTAACTGATCAACACTTAATGTACACATATAGCAGTAACATTCATCAGGTGTCAGGCAGGTGCAAGGGGGAGAGGAGGATGGGTATATTCACACCTAATGGGTACAGTGCATACTGTCTGGGGGATGGACATGCTTGAAGCTCTGACTGGGGTGGGGCAAAGGCAATATATGTAACCTAAACATATGTACCCCCAATAATGTGCTGAAATAAAAAAGGCACAATGATTGCATAGTGTAAAACTTAGTTTATTGGCTAAAAACAGACAAAGCAAATATTTATTGGTAGAAATCACAATATTGCTTCCTCTGGGAGGTGTTTTAATACAAGAAGAAAACTGAATAAAAGCTGACTTTCTCATTATTATCGACACACCCCAGCATTTCTAAATAACTAGAGTGTTAAGACACTCTTCCCCTGAACTATTTTGTTGGTCTAAGTTCTAAAACTTTGTTTGGATTTCAGTTTTAAAAGTATATGTAAGGTTCATTCTATCATTAAACAACAACAACAACAAAAAACTCAATTCAAAAAATGGACAAACGACTTAAATAGACATTTCTCCAAGGATGATATAAAAATGATCAATAGGTACATGAAAAGGATGCTCAATATCATTAATTGTTAGGGAAATGCAAGTCACAACCACAATGAGATACCCATTAGCATGGCTATTGTGAGAAAATTTATAAATAAATGTCGGTCAGGATGTGGAAAAATTATAGACCTCATGCATTGCTGATGGGAAGGTAAAATGGTGCAGCTGCTGTGGAAAACAGTTTTGGAGTCCTAAAAATGTAACCAAAGAATTACTATATGATCCAACTATTCCAATCCTAGTTATATACTCCAAAGAACAGACAGCTCAGCTCAAACAAATATTTGTACACCAGTGTTCATAGCAGCACTATTCACAGTAGCCAAAAGGTTAAAACAACCCAAGTATACTTAGAACTCACGAAAATCAGGAAGAAAAAATCAAATAACCACAATAAAAAGTGGGCAAAGGACTTGAACAGAAACTTTTCTAAAGAAGACAGAAGAATGGCCAACAAACATATGAAAAAATGCTCAACATCTCTAATCATGAGGGAAATGCAAATCAAAACCACAATGAGATATCACTTAACCCCAGTGAGAATAGCCTTTATTTTCTTATCCATTCAGCCAGCCTATGTCTCTTGAGTGGAGAGTTTAAGCCATTCACATCTATTGAGAGA